ACCAACACCTCGGCGCCTGCTTTAGACCGTACAGAGATTTGTTCAACCTGCAAACCAAGTTCTTCTTTTCTTTTTCTTCAAAACCTTCAGGCTGGAGCATATAAATCTCTTCTTCAAGATTTCCATGAAGAAAAGCTGTTTTAACATCTAGTTGTTCCAAATGTAAATTCAATGTAGCACACATTGCCAAGACTACTCGAACTGTTGTTAGTCGAACCACAGGAGAAAAAATTTCATTGAAATCAATACCTTCTTTCTGAGCATATCCTTTGACCACCAGTCTTGCACGATACCTCTCCACTTGATCGTCACCATTTCGCTTGATTTTGAAAACCCATTTGTTACCAATTGGCTTCCTTCCTTGTGGTAGTGGCACAAGGTCCCATGTATTATTTTTATGAAGGGTTTCGATTTCTTCTTGCATCGCCATCATCCACAGTGAAGCATCTGAGTTGTTTATTGCCTCCTGGTATGTTGATGGCTCACCGTCCTCTGTTAAAAGGCAGTATGCAATATTACATTCTATAACATAATCTGAGTGCCAATTGGGACGTCTTCTCACACGATCTAATTGACGAGTTGTTGGAGCTTCAGAACTCTCTGGTTCTTGTTCATCATGCGCTGGTTCTGCTTCAGAAGAATCTCCTTTTTCAAACTCTTTTTCCACATGTATCTGAGTAGTCTCTGACTTTTCAGCGCTATCATCGTCTTCTTTTCTTTGTAGTTTATCTTCTATAAAGATAAAATCCCTACTAATGATCACTTTGCGGGCAGTGTGATCCCACAAGCGATACCCCTTTACTCCATCAGCATACCCCAAGAATTTGCATTTCCTGGATTTTGGATCCAGCTTTGAAATTTCTTGGGCGTTGTACATCACGTACACAATACTTCCAAATACATTGAGGTTTGAATAATCAACTGGTTTACCAGTCCACATCTCCATTGGTGTCTTCAGCTCTATTGCAGTTGATGGAGCTCGATTCACCAAATAACAGGCGGTATTGACTGCTTCTGCCCAGAATGATTTTTCTAGGCCTGCGTCCCTCAACATTGCTCTTGTTCTTTCTAACAAGGTTCTGTTCATCCGCTCTGCCACTCCATTTTGTTGAGGAGTATTTGCCACTGTGAACTGTCTTTTGATGCCTTCTTTCTTGCAAAAGTCATCAAATTCTTCGCTTGTGTATTCTCCTCCATTATCTGTTCTGAAACACTTGATCTTATTTCCAGAATCAAGTTCCACCCGCGCTTTAAAGTTTTTGAAAGTTAAAAACACGTCTGACTTCTTCTTAATAGGGTGCACCCAACATCTCCTAGAGTAGTCATCAATAAATGAGACAAAGTATTTTGCTCCACCTAGGGACGTTATTGGTGCTTGCCATATGTCAGAGTGAACCAATTCTAGAACACTTTTGCCTCTAGAATTTGATGTGTTGAATTTCAATCGGTGCTGCTTACTTGTTATGCAATGCTCACACAAAGGAAGTGATACATTTGTTAAGCCTGGAAGTAGTTTTTGCTCCTTAAGGACTTTCATTCCTTGTTCTGACATGTGTCCAAGTTTCTGATGCCATAGCATTACCAAATCTGAACTACATGAGGCAACAGAGGCTTCTGCTTCTACCAAAGTCTCTCCCTTCAGCATGTACAAGTTTGCAGCTATTTTTTCACCTTTCAACACCACAAGCGCTCCACGGAACACCTTCATGATTCCTTTCCGTGTTTCAATCTTGCTTGCATTATTATCCAACAATCCGTAGGATAATAAATTTTTCTTCAGGCCTTTCACGTGCACATCTCGAACAACTTTAATTGTTCCGTCATACATCTTCAATTTGATGGTTCCCACGCCAACGATCTCTAAGGCATGATCATTGCAACTATAAACAGATCCTCCTGAGACAGGTTCATAATGATGAAACCATTCTCTTCTTGAGGTCATGTGATATGTTGCTCCCGAATCAATGAGCCATATATCTGCAAATCGTTTTCTTCCTTCTACGGTGGTTGATGCTTCACAGCATAGAGCATCTCCATCATCTGAAGTGTTTGCGGTATTGCCTTGTGGATTGGAGTTTTTATTTAGACTCCAACAATCCTTCTTCAAGTGACCCTTCTTTCCACAGTTGTAACACTTTAAATTCTTCTTGCTCCTCGACTTCGATCTACCATGTTTGTGACTGCTGCTTTGGCCACGTTCTGTTGATCTTCCTCTCATTGTTGTCATCGTTGTCAACGCTTCTGCTTGTTGCAGATTTACTTGTCTGTCTTCCTTATTCTTGCGCCGATTTTCTTCTTGTAGAACAGCAGCTGCAACATCATCGAAGACTAAACTGGTGACATTACTGTTTGTCAAGTTGATGATGAGTTGATCGTATGAATCCGGTAGACTTTGAAGTAGAAGTTCATCACGTTCTTGTTCTCTTATTTTACAGCTTAAGGATGTAAGCTGAGAAAATAAGGTGTTCAGTGTATTTAAGTGCTCCGTCACTAAAGTAGATTCTGGCATACGGAGAGTATACAATTTCCTTTTAAGGAAAATTTTATTGTGCAGCGATGTGGCCTCGTACAATTTGGTGAGATGATCCCATATCTCCTTAGCTGTCTTCTTCTCCTCGATGCTTGACAATACTTCATCTGCTAATGCTAGATGAAAGTTTGCCATAGCATTCCCGTCCATCTCGTTCCATTTGATGTCATCTGCAAAATCCACCGGCCTTTCACTGATAGCCGCTAGACACCCGTCTTTCCTCAGGATGGCCTTCATCTTCAATTTTCACAATGAGAAATTTCTCCCATTGAATTTTTCAATATCAAATTTCGTTGCCATAGCTTCTTTTACGGATAGCTCCCACTATTTCACTATCGTGAATAGTTCTCTGGAACCTTCAAAGAATGGGTAATACCTTCTTACTTTCTTATGTTGGAGGACCCACCTTTTGGTGGCAACCACAAAGACAATAAGCAGATATTACACACTCTAATCTAGCTCGGATACCAATTGTTACGGAAGACGGCTATCGGATAGAGCAAAATCGTAACTGATAATTTGAGAAAATAAAAATGAAGATAAAAAGAGACACAAAATTTACGTGGAAAACTCCTAAATAAAATAGGGTAAAAACCACGGGCAACGGTAGAAGAATTTCACTATGAGAAAATAGGAATTACAACCTCTCTCGATCTACCAAGGAGAAAACAATGATAATTCTCTCTCGATAAAAAAGAAAAAACAACTCTCAAGAAACTCTCTAAATTCTCTCTAGTATTGGAAGAAAGCTAGAATGCTTTGGGATGACTTTGAAGCTAAATGAGCTAGGATATTTATAGTTGAAACCTAAAGACTAATTTGTAAATACCCTAAAATTTAGTGACTAAATTGAATTATCCTATTTTTTATATTTTCGCCATGCACCTTTCGGTGCATTAATTTAGGCACCTTTCGGTGCTAGTCAACACTTACTTCTTTCAGCAAATTTTAACAACGAACAGTAGAAACTACCCCCAGCTGCCACAAGTTTTGCACTACTTCGACTTATTTTAAGAGGTTAGTGGAGCAGTGGGGTTCAGATTTTAGTCTTTAATTATTTTTTACGTGTTGCTTTCTATCAACCACTAAGGGTGTATATAATATGATATAATTTGGATTTATCTATTTTGTTCGTAAGAAATATGCTCAATTTTTGCATATTTCCCTTTTTTATATGTTTAAAGAACGCTTCATTGATTTGTTCTTTTGTTCGTAATAAATTTAAGTTTAAAGTTTATGATTATATTTCATCATTGGATCCACTAATAATTAATAAAGTTATATATAATCGGTACATTAAGTATTAATCATATATATATAATAATTATCCTCTAACGGGGTAATGTGACTTTTTAATTTTGTTTGTGGTTAAAGTATATACCTGATTAATCACATGGCAAAGTACATTTTTATCATTGTATTAAATTACAATTATATTATTTTTCAAGGGACTGGAAGCTAATTAAACCATTTTACGGGGCAAGCCGATTCAAATTCCCCGATTTTGACTTAAATTTTTGGTTTAATAAAAAAACAATGGCTCAAACCATACTCTCTATCCACTTTAGGTAATTAAAGTATTTTTTATTCAACTTATCTGTTTAATGTTTTTTCTATTTTTTTTAAATGTATATGTCATATCATCCTTTTAAAAAATTTATTATCTGACACATGTTATACTTATAAATTTTTTAAAAAACTTATTTAAAAAATAACTTAAAAGTATACATATATATCTCAATATATATTTAAAAAACCCTATCTTTTAAAATCTAAAAATAAACTAAAATTCCTAAAAACCCTAATTTCAAACACCTTTTATCTAAAAATAACTTAAAACTGTATTTTTTTTCTCTAAAAACCCCATATCTAGTTTATTAAAATAAATTTTCAAAAAAATTAAAAGATTTAATTAAAAATATTAAAAAAAACTAGTGATTAATATAATTTTTCTATTTTTAAAATAATGAGGAACTTATTATAAGAAATCTATTACTCCAGGAAATCAAAAATATTCATTTTAAATAGAAAAGTATAATTGATGGGGAAAATTGAGACTATGTTGATGATTTTATATGACAAACTTTTTTTTAAAAAATAAAAATATTATTTAAAGTTTTAAGTAATTGAAAAGCTGCTTAGAAAACAGTTTCATCTTAATTTTTTTTCTTATAGTGTTAGTTAATCCTATCCACATATGTAATGAGGTAAGGGGAGGTAGGATACTAGGCTGCTTCCAACGTTAGATTAAGAGCAGCTTTCGTGAAAGATTTCCGTTATGAATTGTCTTTAGTGAAACTCGATCCCACAACCACAAGGTTAAGAGTTTTGCGCTCTACCAACTCATACAATTTTTTTTTTCTTATAGTGTGAAAAGTGATTTTGGGTAAATAGAGTTGTTTTGTCTCCTCGTATCCTATTTATATAATCTCAATTAGATGCTGAAGAAATCTCATTCTGTTATCTACTTTCTTAACAAATAGATTTTCTCTCTTCATCTGTTCTTGAATCCCAATTCCCCGCTACATGGATTTCCTTTGACTTGTTTGTCCGCTCCCTTTTGAATATTCACTGTCAGCTTTGTTTTTTGTTTTGGTTTTGTTTTTCAAGGTTCAAAACTCTCAGGACGAAGCGTACATACCTCGAGGAAATGCTGGAATTCAAGACGATCAAGAAGAAAATGTGGATGTTTTCTTGTTAGTCATTTCATCAGCTTAACTATCTCCCTAGAATTGTCCTCTTGCGTAATGGAAGCTATCATCATAACAGCCATAGCACTGATCAACAGCCACAACAAGAAAGTCGTTAACCAACATAACTTCCCTCTGCAAAAGCTCTCCTTCTGGTTCGCTCCCACCACACGTCCACCTGGTCTGCTCTCTTTCACTTCTGGCTCGTAAAATATAGGCAACAAAAAGAAGGGTTTCTTTTTTCTGTTCTTTTCGTGCTTTTGTATGGCTTCTTACTCTTTCAACAACTTTACATCTGGGAATTGTTACTCTAGTATCTTTGATCCATTTTCGCATGATTTGGGACCATTCAATGGAAGTTCCCTTGGTGGGTCGGTATTGGCGTCACAGTCCTTGGTTTTGGATAGTGAGAAAGGAGAGCTGGTAAAGGCGCCGTTGAAAGTAGGGAAGAAAACGGTGTCGGAAGAGAAGATTATAGCGGCTTTGAAGAGTCATAGCGAGGCAGAGAGGAGGAGGAGAGAAAGAATCAATGCTCATCTCGATACACTGCGCACCCTCTTGCCCTGCAGACAAAAGGTACTTGTTAATTTGAGAACTATCAGTACAATTTTATGTTAAATTTTGGTTTACCACCGACATACGGTCAATATAGTTCAGTTCATGAAAATTTCGTTGGAATCAGCGGGATGTGAGTTAGCCTGTTAGCTTGCATATGTACCTTGTTTTGATTATCAATTTTCCTGAAACTGCAACATTTTGAAAACCTAGAGAGGTTGCTTATGAAAACATTAATTAACTTTATGCATTATGCCATTAATTAAAGAGTTGTTATAATATTGTAACCAAAAAAAAAAAAAGAGTTGTTATAATATTGGCCAGCTTGAATGCTATTTTTGCATTTATAGGAAAACAAAATGAAGTTGTGAGGTCATGAAACTGAGTATTTAATGTTTAAATGTGAAATCTCTTATTGCAAATCATGTAATGCTCTTATTTGCCTGCATTAGGAAAGTCAACTCTAAAATTTCAGAATGCTGGAGTCAACTAAGGGATGCTTCAGCTGTAAGGTTTATTTATGGTTGAGAGCATCTTTCTGGTTCCAATTTCAGACCTGCTATATTTTCAAACAAAATCAATCATGAAAGCTTGTTTCCGGGTGTTATCTGCATCGTTATATAAAAGAAGGTTTACAGGAAGGACAATCGAACAGTTGCAATGTAGATAAGAGGGACTGATTAATTATCATCCGATCAAACCCTTGTCGCCTTGTTAAATTTTCAATCTCAATAGCTTTGCTGGTATATTCGTGTTAATTAGCAATTAATATACTCATTAGATAATCTGTTGACATAGCTTTATACAATATTATTTTTTCTGTCAAAGCTTAGAGTTGGTCGGTTGGACAGTATATATATATTCAAAAGTGATGACGATGATAATAATCGGATAGAGGTGGTGGGGCAATGGAACAGCTGTTCTTCTATGGTTCCTTATGACATGGGGTCTAGTTCTTGAATATATCAGCTGCTTTTGGTTTATTAGTTAGAATATATAATAACTACTGTATGTGACATACGTAGCAGATAATATTATGGTTTGAACGTAAGCAACGATTTGACATCTATATAGCATGTGTATTTTGGCTGTTCTCATTTCTCATTTTTATTTCAGTAATTAAAGGGTACATCTAATTAACTTTCTGGATCGAAGTTTATATTTTTGTAGCTGATAGCAATGTTCCGATTGCTCATTTGCAGATGGATAAAGCGACATTACTTGGTGAAGTGATTAAGCAATTGAAAGAGCTGAGGAACAATGCGACTGAAGCCAGCAAAGGTTTAGTTGTTCCGATGGACGACGACGAGGTGAGCGTTGAACCGTGTAATATTGACAAAGCCGAAGGGATAATTTCTTTTAAAGCATTGATCTGTTGTGATTATAGACCTCAACTTCTGACTGACCTACGACAAGCTCTGGACGCACTTCCCTTTCAAATTAAGATTGTCAAATCAGAAATATCGACGTTGGGAGGTCGATTGAAGAATGATTTTGTTTTCACAGCCGGCTGCAGAAGTACTAGCAGTGTGGTTGATGACGGTGCCGATGCATGGCGTTTTATTGCATGTTCAATTCGGCAGGCCCTGTATTCTGTCCTGGAGAAGGCTTCTACTTCACTGGAATTAGCCTCATTGTTGACATTCCCGATCAAGAGGCGAAGGATCTCTTACATTGATTCCTCGAGCTGATCTTCATGTTCCAAAAAGGATTAGCCTTCTTTCGTTTTGTGTTAACGGGTGTCACAACTGTTATTTCTGCTGCATATGCATGTTTGTATAATATGTGCAAATGTTGGTTTGAAATTAATATTAGAGCTTTACTAAAACATGTAATTTTATCCTAAAGACTGGAACGTTTCTGATGGCTTGTAATGAATCGTATTATTCTATGTATGTAAACTCTTATAATAGTAATTTATTAAAGCTTGAATACATTAAAATTCAAGTAATTTTTTTACACCCCATATATATATATGAAATTTAACTGAATTTGAAATTGGAATCAATTGAAGAATCATTAGTATTTTTTTGGTTAACTAGTTTTTAATTAAAATGTTTTGTTTAATGAATATTTAGAGTGTGCCTAAATATCATAGGGCTTGAAAATTTCAAATGTTAATATAATTAAGATAAAATATTACTTTCATTATTACATTTTTGATAATATAAATTTTGATCAAACACCTATCATTATTATAAGAAATGTTTGTTTTATTAAGGAAAAAAATCCTTAACTTGTTAAGGAGTGTTCGTATATTGTTTTCTTAAAATAGTTTAAAGTGATTATAAAGTAATATTTATTTATAATATTTTTTAGCCATTCACAACATATACTATACCAACACAGGAACTCAAATTTGAGATCTCTAAGAAGAATAACATTCCCTTTTATCACTAAGATCATTCAATGAATTCGTTGATATATAAACTTTTTAAGTCCAAAATCAATGTCGAGTATCTACTTTTATTAAAATTTAGGGTAAAGTACACAAATGATCCACTGGCTATAGGATATTACTTTGTTAAGTCCCCGATTATTAAAAGTTACAAAATAATCCCCCGACTATAGGAAGTTGATTTGTTGAGTCCCTCGACTATTAAAGGTTCAAAATGGTCACCATATTATTTATTATATTTCAAACTAATCATTTTTCATTAAAAAATTAACGACATTCTGAGCTAGACGTTAACTTGCTAATTAAGATATGAGAAAATCTGATTTTATAATCTCAAACGACTATCATACCTTAGTCTGCATGTTAACGTCAAATTCAGACGACAATTATTTTTTAACGAAAAAGGACGATTTTAGAACATAATGAATATTCAGGTGATCATTCACAGCCTTAAAGCTACTTCAAACTGGTACTGGGGAAACCCTTAAAGTTACTTCATCCTCTTTTCCACATAACATTAGGGAATTTGAAGCGTGAAAACATCAACACAAATTGAAATTGGAGCAAAAATGTTTTTGCTGGCTACGTTATCTGGACGTTATTTTATTTAATTTTAAAATAGATTTGTATTTAATATCTGCATTTGACATATATTTGGGGCATAGGATGTGGAGTATGATCATTGAAATACATACATAAAGTTAACATTTTTATCTTGAACACATGACACTTATCCGAATGTAGATAATATGTTTTGCTGCCGTCATTTTTTGAACAAAATAATTGTCCAAAAGAATTAAGCTTGTATGGGCGAAACTTGTCCGTTCTTGTAATTGACAAAAGCATTGTCAAAATACCCATCACTCTTTTCTTTTATTTTCTTTGTGAGTATAATTATCCATCTTCCTATATTCTTTTATTTCATCATCTACCATGAATCGTGAATTTCTAACCTCACAAACAGACTCTTTGTACACAAGCAAAGGTTGAGTTCATAGTGTTGGTTGATTGAGTGCTCACAAGTGTCTTCTTCATTCTTTCTTTTCGTGATTGTGCAGTGACTTGATAGACTCAACATTCAAACAAGACAAAGCAAATATTGCATTTTTTTTAATGTCGGAAAATGACTGCTGCACTGCACTATTTTGATTTGATTGCTGCGGTTTTTGGTTCTGTGCACTGAATTATTCTAGAACCAACAGCGAAAAAGTTCCAAAGTAATTTAGCTGAAGACAAAACTCACGCCATCATACTCATACAGTCATTCTCTAGCGATTAAAGTTACTTTTACATAGCAAACTATAAATGTTCATTCAGTGAATTGACAAAGAGCTTGATGTTAAAGGTCTCGGTTTAAATATTGTGAAAAAATAAATACTTATAAAGGAAGAGTATCTTTCAAATTAAAGTCGGATCCGAATTAACTGTTGAATCAAAATAGAGTAAAAACTCTAATTAATTGAGAATAAGAAAAGTTCTCTCTCTAAAATAATCTCACAAAATTACAAAAGAGAAGAACTCTTAAGAAAACTTTCAAATGTTTATAATTAAGCTTTGATTGTTGGATGATAAAACTCAAACACAAGTAGGGTATTTATAGGTTACAAGAAACAATCTAAACCACTCATTAAAATAATCACTAAATAATCTAAACCATTGAAATTAAAACATGAGAAAAATACTTAATTTTCACCTAACTAAATTGATGTAAACAATTACATCAAAACTAAATTGATGTAAGCAATGACATCAAATTAATTTAGGTGTGAACTTATTTAGGCTAATATTGAATTTTCAACACTCCCCCTCAATGTTAGCCTCTATTCTTTGAATCACGCCATGCTGACGACGGAAATGTTCAAACTTTCCAACACTCAAGCTTTTTATAAACAAGTCAGCAATTTGCTCATCTGTCTTGATTTGCCTCATCTCAATCTCTTATTGCAAAACTTTTTCCCTAACAAAGTGGTAATGTACTTCCAGATGTTTAGTCCTTGCATAAAAAACAGGATTCTCCTCCAGCCGAATTGCCGATCGGTTGTCACAATACAACGAAATTGCATAATCTACTGGTTTATGTAGATTATTCACCAACTGTATCAACCATGTACTCTCTTGAGCTGTCATTATTGTTGCTCGATACTCAGCTTTAGTGGTTGACAATTATACCGTTGGTTGTCTCTTGCTACACCAAGAAATTGTTCCGGAGCCAAGCTTAAACACATACTCAGTTGTTGATCTCCTGGTGTCATGATCTCCTGCATAATCATCATCACAATAACCAACTAACTTGCAGTCTTCACCTTTCTTGTACAAAAGACCATAGTCAATTGTACTATTCACATATCTCAGTATTCGTCGAACTGCTTCCAAATGAGGCTTCTTTGGATTTTGCATATACCGACTCATCACACCAATTGCATAAGAAATGTCAGGTCGGGTCAAGGTTAAGTAGACCAGACTACCTACCAATTATCGATACATTGTTGCATCTTCCAAATCTTTTCCTTCATGTGCAGACATTTTAACATTTGGTTCCATTGGCGTTGAAGTTTACTTGCATTCGAGCATTCCAAACCTCTTTAACAAATCTTTAGCATATTTCTGTTGACACAGAAATATTCCTTCGTGTGTGCGATCAACCTCTAGACCAAGGAAGTGCTTAAGTTGTCCAAGTTCCTTCATCTGAAAACGAACTGATAAATTCTCCTTCGTCTGAAGAATTTCTGCCTCATCATCACCTGTTATGATTAAGTCATCCACGTACACTAGCACGATAGCTAGCTTACCTTCATTGACTTTGACAAACAAACTAGAATCTGCAGGTGTTACTGAATAGCCACTTTTAGTTAGAAATTCAGCAATCTTACCATACCACACCCTAGGTGCTTGTTTCAATCCGTAGAGTGCTTTTCGTAGTTTACACACATATTCAGGATGATCTTGACTCTGAAAACCCATTGGTTGAGTCATGTAGACCTCTTGATCTAGCTTTCCGTGAAGAAAAGCATTCTTCACATCCATCTGCCACAAATTCCAGTCTTTGTTGGCTGCAAGTGCAAGTAAGATTCGTACGGTTGTAAGTTTCGCCACTGGACTAAATGTTTCATCATAGTCTAGTCCATACTGTTGAGAAAAACCACGAGCTACAAATCATGCCTTGTACCTCTCGATTGACCCATATGGACGACGCTTTATCTTGTAAACCCATTTTTAAGATATGAGTTTCACATCCTTTATATTTGGCACAAGATCCCAAGTTTGATTTTCCTAAAGTGCATCGATCTCTTCTTTCATAGCTGTCATCCACTCAAAACTCTGCGATGCTTCTTCGAACGTCTCAGGCTCTGTTACTTCTTCAATTATAGTTGCTTTGGCATATTTGGGATTTGACCTTCGTATTCTTGTTGACCTTCAAAGTTGAGATTGTGGAATTGATTCTTCTGTTTCACTAGGCTCACCTTCTTCGTTTGGTTGTTGATACACGCCAGTTTGCCAAGGATTTTGAGCCACTCTTTTTTCAACATCATCGTCATTTGGATCTTCTAATTTATCTAAACTTGTTTGGAGTTGAACAATATGCCCCTCATATTTTGTTATAGCTTATCTCCGAATTCTCTCGAATCTGACAACACCTCTTTCTTTGAGGACCACCAAGAAGATACTGCATCAAATACCACATTTCGTGACGTGTAACATCTTCCACTAATTGAATCACAACATTTCCACCCCTTTCTCTAGCCGTTGTATCCCATAAAGACACATCTAACAGATTTCTTGTCAAATTTGCTCCTTAAATGATCAGGAACAAACACATAACATACACAACCAAATACTCGAAAGTAGCTAACTGTAGGTTTTATGTTCCATAGTTTCTCAAATGGTGAAACAAATCCTAACCTTGGTTGAGGAAGTCTGTTGATCACAATGGATGCAGTCCTCATTGCTTCAGCCCAAAACCTTCCAGGTTCGTTCTTTGCATTTAGCATACTTCGATAAATTTCTGTAAGATGCCAGTTTTTTCTTTCCGCTACACCATTCTATTATGGCATGTTAGCACAAGTGTACTGATGACGTATTCGACATTCCCTTAGGTATTGAGAGAACTCGTTTGATCTATATTCTCCTCCGTTGTTTGTGCGCAAGCAACATATCTTCTTTCCAACTTCTCCTTCAGCTGAGTCTCTGAACTCTTTAAACTTTGAGAATATGTCAGATTTTTCTTTCATAAAGAAAACCCACACATACTGTAACATCCCAAACTACGGGTTAGTGACCAAATTGTAAAATTTTAGAATATGGTGATTAAAGTAGAATAGTTGAATAGTTTATTGATTTATGTGGAGATATTTCCTGAAAGTTGTTAGTAATAATTAAAAGAATTAAAGGGAAAAATGGTCATTTGACTTGGAAT